GTTATCTTGGCTGCTATCAAGCTTTTTTTCACTATTTCCCTCAGGAGGAGTTGCACCAGAGATAAAAGTATAATGGCTGATGCTCTGTAGTTAATGTGAATTGCACTACTGGCTTCGAGTAGGTGTAACACATAAAATATGCGAGCCTAATCGAGGCCAAAAAGTTAGTCTCTTAGTTTTAATGTGATGAGGTTGTGCCTGGCTTATCTGAATTTTGGTGGTCTCTGCTTTGGTGCTTGAGAAATCTTTGGCTTCATCAGGAAGCTTGTTTCTTTTACTCACAACTTCATCCATATTAAGGAGCAGATGGAGTTTGAAGAACTTACAGACCTTCACTGAGTAGTTTGTGCTGAGGAATAGTCCTGACACTGCTGGAACAGAGAGCTGACAGTATTCCTAATAACCGTCTTTCAGGTAATGGAGTCTGACTTCTGTCTTCAGAAAAGAGTAAACCCTTCTTTGATCCAAGAGTTGCAATAGGAAGGTAAGAGAGTTGCAGTGGGGAGGAACTTGAATCAGGCTGCAGCTGTCAGCTTGTTTCCTGTGTTTTTTATTATGTATAAGGTAGAGGCTCCCAGCGCTGGGTTCCAGGTGTCCTCCTCCTGCAGGGTTTTGGAGCAGCTGTGACCAGAAGTGTGTAACTTGGGCGCAGTAAAACTGTTTCAAAGAACTGAATTTGTAAATGATGCCGCTTTCTCCGATTCTCAATGGGGCGCTTGTAATGCGCTGACAGTGAGGTTGGTTTCCTGGTTTGTTTTCGTTACGGCTGCCATTGAGGCCCTGCTGTAGGAAGCCAGGGAGCCTTGTTCTTTATGAAGCTGGTAGAACAGCTGTAGCTCTATCCATCATTGGGATAAATAGGAGTCCAATAGAAGAGCCGAAAGGCTTCTTCCTTTTTCTAACTGGCAAACATAACCAGCATCCTTCATTATAAGCCTGTCATTGAGTCTTGGTAAGTTAATTAGAAGATTTCTGAGAAGGAAAAATGTTCTTGTCTACATTTTTTTGTGGGGTTACTATTTTCCCCTGCACAGAAAAAAATATCTAAGTCCAGTTGTTGAAAACAACTGACATCAAAGACAAGTTGTTCAAGAAAGCTTCGCCAGAGACTGGTTTGTTTTCCTGCCACCATTATCCCAGCTTGATAGCTGGCTGTAGCCTGGTGGGTCCAGAGCGTGCTCTCAGTAGTGTCAACGTGCCGTTGATGCAAGATGGCCACCAGGAATGCTGCGTGTAAATAACTTCAGGTTTGCTTATAACTGGTTCCTTTGAGAGCTATGGCCCAGTTTGTATTGAAGAAGGTGTCATTCCTTTGAGCGTTTGTTTACTTATTTATTGAGGTCAGCAAAGTGAAGAGTAATTACGGGATTTAGACTAACAACAGGCATCTGAAGTATGAGAGCTCCAGAGTGTGAAATTGAAAAGCTAAGTGGCTTCATGCTATTGTTTGCTTGATAAAAACTCCTAATATATGGATGACTCTTGAAGATTTTTGATTTCTTCATAGCCATTTAAATTTTATTTAAGGGAGGCTTTGCATAATGTTCTGATCATGGGAGCTAGTCCAAAAGTTTACAAGAGCAAGTCTTGACAACTCAAATCTGGTATGAATTTCAGCAGATGCTACTTAACTTTTTTAGAAAAAGCCATGAGACTAGTACTATGGCAAGTGACTCCGTATCAGTGTAGTGGTTTTTGAACAGGTAGTGATAAAGATCTCCTCTAATTTTCACAGGCTTTGTATGAGTTGGTCTTCCAGGTGTTTGTATAGATATTAACCTTGAAAGTCAGACTCGCTTTTTCGGAGCTGTCTTTGTCTTAAATCCAGAAACATATTCTGCTGAGCAGATTTAATTCAGGTCACACCAAACCTCCCAGGTAAAATAGCACTGGCCACCACTCTTGCCTGTGATGACAAAAGGGGAAACTTTCTGAAACTAAGGTTCAGCGAAATTGTACATAACAGTACAACTGATCGGTGTGTAGTTGAAAGGAGATGTGTTGTAACTGAAGATAAAGTTGGTGCTGTACAATTCCAGGTCCTCTTGGCAGCAAACACTAACGGCTGGAGATCTGCATGTTAATGAATCTATGAAAGATAGGGAGAAAGTGGCTGTGGTGCTCCTGCCAAAGTGCTAATTCTTACCTTGGTTATGAAGATCAAGTATCTTGTTCAGATTTAAAAATCAGTTTCTCTTATGCTTACAGTAAAAGGTTGAAGAATGTGGTCATAACTAGTCAATTAAAACGTCATTCTTCAGCGCTTCCCTGGCTTTATGCTAAAACCCAGGAAATGCTCTCTGCTTGCGGAGAGGCCAGCAGTGCAGGAACAGCATTCATCAGTCTTTGTTAGTGCAGTGAGCTGCCTTGATGAACAGTTCATTAACCAGGAGAAGCAGAATCAGTCTTTTAATACACTTGCTATAGCAGTTAGGCCCTGACAGCAAGCAGAAAACTCATGAGGCTAGTCTGAGAGCTAAAACCTTGGTGCTGGTCTGAAACTAATCTTTCCCCATCCTTCCACAGGCCTTTGGGTAGCAGCATTCATTAAAATGCTTCTCTAAGCTGTCGTTTAAGAGTACTGTGTGTGTAGGATCTCATGCTTGTTGAACATATAGTTCAAACATAACAAATGGGAAAATAACATACACACTTAAGAAGAAACCTGTTCTGACTCTTCTAGGCATCTCTCAAGATTCACCGTGGTATTAATTGTTTCATTGTAAAATGCGTAAGATTGAGGTAACAGTTAAAACAAATAACCGGAGGCATCTGGCAGCGCGTGGATCCCTGGCACGCCGCGCGTGCATTGGAATGGGGCAGACGTGTTTCCAGCAGTTCAGGCACGCTCGTCGGTAGCTTCAGAGGGCTAAAATTCACTATGAACAAATCAAAGTCTGTAGGTTTTTTTCCCCTGGGGTGCTGGGAGGGGAAGGGGGGAATGGGCCAGATGAATTCGTACTTGCAGTAGCTGCAGATCTGAGAGCTCAGTTTCTAGCAGGAGTAAAACCTGAGCTATTGCAGGATCCACCTCAGGACTCAGAATGGATTTATGTTGCAGCAAAGACACGGGGATCATTTGTTACTCTCCTCCTTCCACCCCCCTTCCCCGTTTCTATTAGCAAAAGATTAGTTTGGGGCAGAGGGGAGTACTGCTTCAGCCAAATTTTGAGACTTCATGTAAAGCAGCCAGTAGTTGAGGCTTTGGTGCTCTTGACTAGAGCCCGATCTCTTGTTCATCCAAGTCCTCCAGGAAATGAGAAACATAAGCTGCAGGTATGTTTGTGCATGTATGCAGAGTGCTGCGTTTCTGGAGCGCCTGGAACACGGAGGCCTCTGAAACCCTGCACTCCTCCTCAAAATGGCTGCCAGATGTGTTGGCTCTACTGAATTCCCCGGAGCCTGACACCAGAAATGCTGAGGTTATTACCAGTTTGGTTCTTGCTGTGTTCTTCCTTCAGTCTTCCAGGCACAGTGTTGCAAGACCGAGTGTGACCCTGGATGGCTGCGGTACCTGCGGAGGCTTTCTGTCGGCACGCTGGCGTGCTCGGGGCAAGGCTCGCCGGGACTCTGTTTAAACAAAGGAAGCGTGTTTGTTTTTACAGCTCAAGCTTGGGAGCCTGGGCTGGGATCCTGTGCCATTTCCCCGTGCTAGGAGCAAGATTCTCGAGGAAGACAGCCTCTCCCTTTGCTGCAAAGCACAGCTCTTCTTGGCCAACAAATACGCATCTTATCTTCTCTGGCTTGTCGGTGCTGGAGACTTCTTAAAGCTTAACTTGGATTTGGTTTGATATTTGTCTGTTGGTGCAATAAACAGTATAGAGACTCCTGAAGTGAACCGCAGTCTGGCTGCCCATGCTCGCGTGGCTTCTTGGGCCGGTCTCGTAAGGACCTTGCTAGTGTGGCCACACTACTGCTCGATTACTGTGTAACCCAGTCAGTCCCAGCTGGATCCCTTGTAACCCATTTCCCAGTCAGTGGGAAATGGAGCTTCCAGGTCCTGCATCTATCTGTTGAGAGTTTAGCACAAGAGAGCAGACTTGCTATGCAGCTGTCTCTAGCATCAGTAGCTGGAACTTTTAAAAGTATATATTAAAGCCACGCTGCATGGTAACTGGCTGTTTTTCTGACGGCATGTACACTTGCAACAGTCAGCAGTTTGCTGAAATAACAAATCTTAATGAGAAAGAGGTGTTGGAAAGTACTTGAGCTAGTAGTAGGATCTGTAAGGAAAGTGTATCATCTAACATACGCTGCTCTGCCTTTAACCAAGGAAAAGTGTTTCTCAAAATAGGCTTCCTTACTCCTTCATCTAATTTGCTTTAGTTTATTTCTAGCATCAAAATGAGAACGTCATTTCGATGTGATACAGCTTTTATAGTAAGTGCAGATCCATATGAGTAGGATGTATCTTGCGCTTCATAGCCAAGGCAAGCTGTATATGGTGACACTTTTGAAAGTATTTGGGTTGTCTTAAGATAGAAAGTGGATTCCACCATTAAGTGTGCCCAGGGATGGAGTACCTGAGAAGCAGTGGGTAGACTTCATGGTAGCTTGTTCAGCTGGACTCGCACTGCAAATTCAAGGGATGGAAATGCCTAGATACATGACTGTGCTTGCTGCACGGGATTCTGTGTAGTCTTACATGGAGTAATCAAGTTATTTAAGGAGATGTTGGCGTTAGGGGGGAGGTTTATGTGTTGCACACAAGTGAATCTTCCATTTATCTGTGCTATTCAATTCTAAGACTGTCTTGTGAAACGGTGGAGCGTGCTGCATCGTGAAGATGAGATGGGTGTCGTGGAAGTCAAGCTTCTTAGAGGTGTCCTGCTAAGTGGATGTATGGGGGAGCGAAATCGGGGAGCATCACTGTAAAGACAAAGAGGAAGTGCCTGGGAGCTGAACCTGCAGAGCTACCCTGACTTGGGCTGCGTGTACGTGAGAAGAGGCGTTTCGGAAATAACAGTAAAGCATTGCTTTGTATTTCTTTTGTAGCAACCCTCCGCTCAGTGAGGAAATGCTGCCTCCGGGGGAGTGGATGTGTCACCGCTGCACTGTACGCCGCAAGGTAAAGCCTCTTGTAACAGACATGATCCCTGCCCTTCCGACTGTCCATTTGAAACGTGAACCCTGTGTTTTATACCTTCCCCTCCCCTTAAGGTGGGAGAGTTGCTCTTTGTGCTCGCAGTTGTGAAGGGCTTTGTTAGGAACAGGCTTAAAGAAAACTAAGGAGTCTTGATGAGACTCTCCTGGTATTTTTAACCTCTCTACTAGGAAGCACAAAACCGAAGTGCCTGATATGTTCTTGTCAAGTTGTGCCTTTTAAACTGTTTTCCTTTCCCCCCACTTCTGGAAAGAAGGGAGAGCTGAGGCACAGAGGGAATGGGAATGGCTCCCATGCTTGAGGAGGTGAGCTGTCTACAGGCAAAACAGGAGTTATGTTAATGCAGCTTTGGCATCAGGGCTGTGATTCTGATTAGTGTGTGTTTTTTAGAAGTGTGACTTCACAGCAGTTGCACATCAGCAGAGGGTGAAATCACAGTGAGTTATGATTTCCTGGGCTGTTGAACAGGATGGGGAGGAGATGATTGGGCAAGATTGTGGCTTGTCTTTTTTTTCCCTTGATGCTCTTTCTCCAGGAAGCTGTCTTGCACAATGTAAACATCTTATTGCTGTGACTACGTAAGACTGCGTAGCAGAGGGTTTAGAAACCGCACCAAACTATCTAGCAACTGTTCCCTTGAAGTGACACCCAAAACAGATTGGAAAAAACCTGTGTACTCAGCCTTTTGTTCCTGAAGCGATTGCCGTGTTATGTTCCCAGGGTACTGTTCAGCCATCAGCCGACAGTAAAAAAACCGAAGGTCGCAAATTTAAAAAATAATAATAAAATAAACAAAAGAGAGAGAAAAAAGAAAAAAATACCCAACTTTTCTGTATTAAAAATTGCCTGATAACACTTTGCTCCTTTTGCAGACCATTTTAGTGATCGAGTAGATTGGCTCATCCATGTTGGTGATGCTGTCAGGCACTAGAGCAGTGCACAGTTGCCCGTACTAGGCCATGCAGCGTCCCCTCCTGTTGCAAAATGGATCTCACGGTGATTGCAATGTATTATTTTCCTCTACTGCAGTTCTCCCTGTTCAAGATTCCTGTTGTCAAGAGATAGCAGTGTTGTTTGTATATTGTGCTTGTATTCTCAAGCTGACCTTCTCGTTTCGTAATGGGTTTGGATGCACTGCCAGGGTTAATAGACTGCATCGACAATGAACGGTCTACTGTGGAGTTTCTCAGTGTTGGCTAGCAAAGTAAACAGAGTTGTCTGATTTGTCAAGTATTTAGGACTAGATGCTGTGAAACGTTGTCCTGATCTGGACTCATATACGCCTGTCCTGAAAGGAGGGAGACGTGCTAATTTTCTTCCCCATGCTTGGTTCCCTTCAGCTGTTTTGTCATCTGTACGTTAGCTGCAATCAAATTGTTTTTGCTAGGTCAAGGCTTTAATGACTTCATTGGAGAAGTTGTAGTAAGTGGCTCAAGCCTTTTCAGATGCTGTTTGTCTTCGATTGCATATTTGTCAAGGTTGATGTGCTTTGTTTGTGGCCTCCATGATAAGCCTGCCTATTCATGTCGTGCAGAAGCGAGAACAGAAGAAAGAGCTGGGGCAGGTAAATGGATTGGTGGACAAATCTGGGAAAAGGACCACCTCCCCCACCAGTGACGCAGACCTGTTGGACAGGTCTAGCAGCAGCATCAGGGCTAATGCGCATGCCAGGATCTTGGAAAGGAGAGCAAGCCGGCCTGGCACTCCCACATCCAATGCCAGCACCGAGACCCCCAACTCAGAGCAGAATGATGTCGATGAGGACATAATTGACGTGGATGATGACTCTGCCATTGCAGAAATGGACTGTGGGCAGCCCCAGCTGAAGCGACCCTTTGAGCTTCTTATTGCTGCTGCCATGGAAAGGAACCCAACGCAGTTCCAGTTGCCGAATGAACTGACCTGCACCACAGCACTTCCAGGTGAGCGATGGCTTGTCTAGTGTTGGTGAAGATGTCCGCAGTTGCATCCTGCTGCCATCTTGCCTCTTTTCCCTCTTGACTCCTTGGTAGTTGTGGCTCCAGTGATGCTCACTGATGGCAGCGGAGGGTACAGAAGTTCCCCTGGTCCTCCTCCAGCTGTCCGACAGCAGGTGGCCTCTTTCAGATGTGAGCTGTGGGGACACTGCTACTACGCGCTACACCTCCTTCAGCACTTGTGATAGAGGCTTGCTGTGGTCACCTTAGTCTAGATCATCAATCTGAAGAAAAAAATTCCATTTGTCAAAATACTTGATTTTGATTTATGATATGATAATCTAGTAACAAAGTAATGACTTCATGTATAAGATGTCACTGAAATGATTAAGTATAAAATATGCCTGCCTTTAAAGACAGTCTCTGTCACTTAAGGCTAGATTTAGTGGTTGATACGGGTTCATTAAGCAGCTCTTTTTGCCTTTTCTGTTTGCCTCTGCCCGAGATGATTATGTATATCGGCCAGAAAGCAAGTCTCTGCTATGTGGGTAACCCAAAGCCTTTTAAAATTTACTTTCAGGTACTAGTAAGAGGAGGAGAAAGGAAGAAACCACAGGAAAGAATGTCAAGAAAGCACAGCACGAGTTAGACCACAATGGTTTGGTTCCCTTGCCGGTGAAAGTCTGCTTCACATGCAACAGGTACTTGACTCTTCCAGGGAAGCTGTTTGGTGTAGCTGCACCCTTCACGGGAGCAAAGTTCTTGCTGAAAAAAGTACATGACCTGTTCCCTTTCCCATTCTCCTTCATTACTTGCTTACAATCCTCTAAACAAATGGGGGAATAATCATCTTTGCTAAATAACAGATGTTTAACCATGGCAAGTGTAGGTGTGGCTTCTGCAGCCTTGCGTGGCTGTAAAGGGTTTTAAAATGTAGCCTGAAGGGAGTGAGCCATCTTGTCTTCAATATTTTTCTACTAAGAAAAATTCTAAAGTGATGGTGGCTTAGAAAACAGAATTTTTTTATGGTTCATGAAGGAAGTATGCGAGGAGGTGGCTTTTAGGAAATAGAAATCTACTGAGAGAGATATAAGCCCAAAGCAAATAGGAGTATTGTGCTGAAATAGTAAATCTGAAAAACAGTACAAAATACTGCTGGTTTTTTGTAACTGCATAAAACCCACAGATAAATCCCAATTCAAAATGTCAGTGAAAACAAGAAACTTTATTTCAGGAACCCAGTCAGAATGAGTTTCTGGAAGTGGGCTGGAGACTCAGGAGACTGGAGCTTTTGTGGAGAACAGCTGATGACTTTGTCACAGAGTGGAGACTTCTTTAAAGCCTGGGAAATCGGATATAGTAGCTTTCTGGAGTTTGAGATTTGTTCTGAGAACATCTTGTTGAAATAAATGTCCCAACTTCACACAAGATTCATCTGAGAAAAATTGTAATAACCTAAATCTGAGATTTCCTTTTCATCTCTGAATTTTGCTCTAAATGAAGCCACTCAGGACTAATGCCCAAGGTCAACTTGAAAAGTTGCTTATGTGAATCTGACAAGTGCTTACAGCTTTGGCATCTCTTCCTGCCAAAGGACCTCTTTTGCACCGAGAAACTCTCAGGTGCATGGGCAAGACCTTTTGCCTTGAGTGGGTCTTGCAGAAGGTCCATATAGATCAAGTTACAAATCTGAAGCCTAATTTTAGATGCAAGTAACGTAGTGTAGGGGAATTGGTGGGGAAAGATAAGCTAAAGTAGTTAGCCGAGCTTGCCTGTGTGTTTGGTTTATGCCCTGTATTCTGTATGGGAAATAAGATATGGCTCTCTTTGCAGGAGTTGCAGAGTGGCACCTCTAATTCAGTGTGATTATTGCCCACTCCTGTTCCACATGGATTGTCTGGAGCCACCGCTTACTGCCATGCCTCTGGGTAGATGGATGTGCCCAAATCACATAGAACACGTGGTGGTAAGCAGGACTATGATTGCAGTATGGTAACCGGATGCTGGAGTGGAACCTGGCAGGTCCATTAAAGGACAAAGTACAACAAATGTAAAACAGCTTCTGAGCTCTTATTGCTCTCTGTAACGCTTGTAAAGCTCCTGCTGCAAGCAACGCACTCTCCAAAGGAATATGATGCTGCTATCTGCAATAAAATATAAAGATGGGGCAACTCCTTCCTGTAACTGAAGCTGACAGCTCAGATTGTGGCTCACTGACAGCTTGTTTAGTTTTCAGACTGGACTCCTTAAGACCTAGATGAGCTTCCAGAACTGTGATACAAAGCAGCACAGTGCTACAAATAGGGGAAGTAATTCTTTGCATGCTTAACCCAAAAAACTTTCATTCCAAGAGGGAGTTTTCATTTGTGGAAAAGCAGTGTACTTGAGACTTAAATACTCAGGAAACAGGGGGCTGAAACAAAGGGCTTGTGCCCAGACAAACTGCTTCTGACAGCATTGATGCTGCTTAGTAGGCCTCTAAATACTTTTGTATTCATCTCCAGCAATGTGCCCTTTAACAGAAATGGTTAGTGCTGCAGGAAACAAATAGTCTAAAGCTGAGCTGATGCTGTACTGCCAGTGCTACGAGGCGTTATGAAAGTCTTAGGGTACATTAGAGTGACCCGCAGATCCCTAACTCCTGTGGCATTATCTGATCACCCAGCTGAACCAGAAGAACTTGACCCTGAGTAATCGGTGCCGAGTATTTGACCGGTTCCAGGACACCATATCTCAGCATGTTGTCAAAGTGGATTTCTTAAACCGAATCCATAAGAAACATCCTCCGAATCGCAGAGTTCTTCAATCAGTAAAGAGAAAAGGTTTGAAGGTATGTGTAAACAAGTAGGTGTCGGTGAAACTCCCTGTATATGTATTCGGGTTTGGAAGGGAAACCAGCGTGCCCCGTAGGGATAGCCTCTTGGGGCAGGAGGAAGAGGGTGGGGTCTGAATGAATGTGTTGGTGAGAGGTCTGGAAGTCAGCTACGTGTAGGATTGAAGAAGCTTTTTTTTTTTGCCAACCATAAGGGTCAGCTATTAGAAGTAAGCCTTTAAATCTAGCACAAGCATAGAAAGTACAACACAAAACCTCCTGAAGGTGCCCCTAACGTCAGAATTGGAGCAGCTGCATGTTCTGTGTTAAACCCCAAAGAGTATTTGTTGCCAGAATGCCTGAAAAATGCCATACAGGTTTCCCTTCTTACTTGGCCTTTTTTGCATGACTTCTCTTATGCTGTAGCCACCACGATGTGCTGAAGTCATGCCTGACCTAAGGGAATAAAACCTATTAATTTCAGCGTGGCTGCATCAATTTAAAGACTCAGTCCTTGAAACTTCTAGTGTATTGTCTGCAGGGTTCCTTTGGGTCAGAAAGCAGCAAACTCAAAGCGTAGTGCTGGTTAGGCACTTTGTTTAACTAGTCATTCTTGAGTAATTATTCTCATGTGTGATCTTCTTTCTCTATGTAGGTTCCTGATGCTATAAAGTCCCAATACCGGCTTCCACCCCCGTTACTTGCGCCTGCAGCAATTAGAGATGGCGAGCTGATCTGTAACGGGATCCCTGAGGAACCCTTGCAGAAGCACCTTTTGAACACTGAGCACTTAGCCAGCCAGACAGAACAACAGGAGGTAAATGAAGTCAAATGCTTGGACTCTATGTCTGTAGTTGCTTTGGTACAAAGATCTCTTCCATTTCAGTCATGATCAGAGCAGTTGTCTAGGAAACCAGTCTCAAAACCATGTCTGAAGGTGATAGCTTGTCTTGTCTCTGACACCCTTGCCCATTAAAACTTCGTTTTGGCTTTCCAGGTGAAATGTAAAACTCCTCATTTGACACTTCAGGGAAGTGGTGAAATAGTCTTCTGGCCTTAAGAGTGGAGTCGAGGGCTTTCTGTCTAGATGTCATTTTTATTTCCTGGCTGAGGGGAAATACTTTCCGCTTTGATTATGTAAGGCTGCTCTCCGACACGTTTATTTGTATGTTAATGTCATATTTCTGGGCTGCTTTTTATTGCTGATAGAGTTGGACTTTTAAATCAAGGTCAAATGAGTGTTTAAATCTCATATGAAACTTCTTGCCAGATTCCACAACGCGAAGGCATGTTGCTTTGCAGTCAGTGGTGTAGTTGAGTCCTTCTGTTAGCTCAGGCGGGGTTCTTCTGTGTGGCAGATGCACATTCACCATGGAGCTTAAAACTTCAAATAAATCTTCTCGTCTTCCTCTACCTTGTGTAAAAGGAAAGGTGCGCTCCACCCCAGCTTTGGCAGGTGACTCCCTATAGCGTGAGGTAGATCAGCATTTCTTTCCAGCGTGCTACAGAGTAAATTGGAGGACTGTGTTTGGATAGAAGCCCATATTAGTGAAAGATGTGTTTGTAACTAGCTGAAGAGTTGCAACACTTAACAGGTGAAGAGAGGGAAGAATTCAGGGGAGAGGAAGTGCATCTGCTGCCTTCTTCCTCCTTTAATCTCAGCTCCTCTGTGTACTGTCCCCGGCACGGAGATAAGCAGTACCTAATTTTGGTTGCACTTTTGTACCTCTGCACAAAGTTTTCTCCTGATTTTAGATGAGCATCAGAGCAGATGCTGTAGTTCCAGGCTGCATCAGAGCAGTCAGCAGCACAGTGAGGCAGCTGAATTTCTTCGAGCTGGGTGAACGATGGAGTAACTGTTGAGGTTTGGAGCACTGTCTGCCTGTGGAGCTAACCTGCACTTTTTTCTTCCTCCCAGTGGCTCTGTAGTGTTGTTGCGCTCCAGTGCAGCATATTGAAACATTTATCTGCTAAGCAGATGACTTCGCTTTGGGACTCTGAACAAACAGAGAAGGCTGATATTAAGCCTGTTATTGTGGCAGACGGCTCACTCGCCAACCCTTACCAGGCAGCTGACAAGGCACCCACACCTTCCCTCTATTCCATGTCATCCTGCACCTCAGGGATTACCACCCAGAATTCCTTGAGCTCCTCGCAATCCCAGCAGACTTTGTCACAGGAAGATGTCAACTGCAGCTCTTGTATAGATAAATCCAAGAAGGTGTCTTCTTGCGGGACTTCAAATGGGCCGACAGCCTCTGACATTAAAGTAAATGGTCCTCATTTCTATGGCGTTTCGTCTGAATCTTCAGCACAGTTGACTGACTCCCAGAGACTGATCGGATCTGGTAACACAATACCTGTTTTGTCTCATCGGCAAACATGGCCTCGGCCCCTCACGCCCCCAGCGACTTGTGGACTTCTGAATCACACCATTGGAACCATTGTCAAAACTGAGAACGTAGCAGGGCCCGTTTCTTGTGCACAAAGGGGTTCTGTGCCGGTCACAAGTATGCCTACGTCCATATCGAGCTCCTGTGCCAGCCTGGAGACCACCAGCACTTTGCAAAGAAAGAATGTGCAGACACAGATAGGACCGCCGCTGACGGCAGACCTGCGATCTATGGGCTCCCCTCTGACCGCCACGAGGGCTCTCACCCCTCCGCAGGCTGCAGGAGATGGGATCTCTGCTGTCGGGTCCACAAACAGATTCTGTTCACCAGCACCACCTTCAGGTACGTGCCAAACACCTGATCTTGGTCCCCAGGGCTGAGAAAGCGTTCAGGCTAAATGTTATTCTGAACCTCAAGGCTCTAGCGGTATGCCCTCATTTAACTGGGAATTAGGTTTTTTTGTGGAGGGCCGGGAGAAGTTTCTCAAGTCTCCTCTGTCTTGGGTCCCTTCATGGGAGCCACGGGGTGTGTTTTTTCTGGCTGCGTATACCTGACAGGGGAACTCTGTCCTGAGAAGCAGGAGAGTAGATCAGTTTAATTCTGGAAAGCAACAATAGTTTTAAATCAGTTGGCTGCTGTCTCGCTGTTCCAACAACTGGCCATTCCAATGCTGCTTTAAAACTACTGATTTGTTTTAAAGCACTAGTTTGATTGCAAGGTAGTCCTTCTCACAAAAGCAGCTGTCTCCTGATCCTGATCTGATCCTGTGATGCCCATAGGCGTCTGATCCTATGATCTCTGTCCTGGTAACTGTTGTGGTGATGCTTGTGTCTCCTAGTACAGATGTGTTTGAAGCCTTCAGCTGTACAGCCTTGATGTTAGAGAAATGCAGACCTGGGAAGCTGTAGTCTGTTTAGTATCTGCTAGTCTGTTAATACAGGGTAGTTATGGACTTGGATATACCATCTCTGTCCTGAGTTGTACCCAAAACCCCTGCTGTTAAAGTGTATATACCCATTCTTTAGTATAAAAACATCAAGTCAAAGATGTTGATAGATGTTGATAGGTGTTGAAGTCAGAGTAACTGCCCATAACTCAAATTTTGCTAGAATAAGCTTTCACTTAAAGCATTCTCCTTCTCTTCCCTTTCCCCGCACCAGCTCAACACTCAAACTAGTAAACCCTTTGTGCAGGTTGGGTTGAAGCAGTTGCTGAAAAGCATGCGACAGAGCTGTCTGTCACTTCTCTTGCAGTTCCTAGCTACTCGGTGGCAGGCTTGTGTGGGGTGGCTCAGATCTGGTGATTGTAAGGCGGTATCTTTTTATTATTCTTTTCAAAATTCCTTAATGAGTAACTTCTGAGCTTTACCTCGTGTTTGGAAGCAGTCCCCGGAGTATTTGGCCTCCTTGCTTATTGCTGAATAAACTTGGTTACTCTGAGGCTGCTAGTTTGACCATGCCCTGCTTAGAAATGCAAGACTGGGAGAAGTTTTGGTAGAGGAAATAAGACCATACTACAGAAAACTTCTTGCTTGTGGTTTGAAGAGCACTGCAAACCCTACATAATTTTGTGGTTGCTTAAGATGTTAAATAATTGCTTTTGGTGCAAAGCTTGCGTTCTACAAAATGCAGATTAAAACAACATTTTGGTGCAGTGTCTCTTGGGAAAGGTGTAAGTATTTAGATTTTCCATCTAACATGATGCATATATATATTTATCACAAATCTTAAATTACGGTATGCAAATTTTGTTGCTGAATACAAAAATACAAATCATTCATGACTTTTTTTTTTTTGCCATAAATTTCAGGCTTACAGTAGTTCTACTTCTAAGCAAACCAACTCAAGAAGATCTGGCATCAAGAATGCATTAAAGGGATTTTGTTTCCTGGCATTTGCCATTGCCTCTTTCAGCTGTGTGGTCACTGCCAAAGCAGTAGAATTTTATTTTGTAAATAATAAAATCTGCTTATGACTGTCACATTCTTACTGGACAGTGAAGTATACCCCAGACTTGATAATTGTGCAGAAATAAAAATGGGGCAATTACACTTTTTATGCATGTTCAGGCCTAGACAAGCTACTGTCTCTAGGTGTAGTAAGCTCTTCAAGCTCCTGGGGACTTGGTGCTCATCTTTCCAGTCTCTGTAGGACATCACTTACAGTCTGTCATTGCTGCTGCTTCAAAGAGGGAGTAGGAGCTTAAATGTATAGGTCCAGAATTCCTCCGACAACTGGAGGTGAGAGGCAGAAGCCAGCAGTTGGCTCTGTATTGGAGGCACACACTAGTCCTTCTATGAGCAGAAGAAAGCTAACGGCCTCTAATTCAGGCCTTTTTCAAAGCATCAATATGAGCAAAATTAGTCATTCTGAGCAGCTTGGAAGCGAAGTGCAGCCTGAGGGCTGGGTGCATGTCTCACGAACGTCACAGTGACATATCTTCTCTGCACCATCTTTCTCTGTAGATGGTAAGGTCAGTCCCAGCACCTTATCCATAGGAAGCGCTTTAACTCTACCCTCATCACTCACTTCAAACTCTGCAGCTATGTTGGACCTCACCAGTTCCCTGAAAGCATTTATGGACGGCGGTGAGTATTTAGTTCGTTATCAGTCTCTACTAGCCCTGTGTGTTTGCTTCCTTAGAGCATTTGGTCTCTGCTTGAGGAAAAGTTCCAGAGATAAAGAAGGGTTGCAGTCAGGTGAGGGCGGGGCTGGGTATACATTACCTTAAATATGTCACACGCTTCCCTACTTGTAGCGTTGCCAAGGCAGCAAGGCGGATGAAGTGTTTCTGCCTGAAGCTTTTCTGGGGAACGATCACAAAGCTTTTGCACGGGCTGCTTTCCAGGTGGAATTCACATGCAGAAACCTGCAGCCCTGCCATGTTGTGGTGCTAGCTGCAATCCAGAGCTGTTCCCGACGGGCGTAAAGTCCAACAATGGATCTTGTAGTCGAGCAGTCACCTGAGTGGTGATGCTCTAATGGGTCAGTTAATTTTCTGATTTATTTCTGCTTCTGTCAGTCTGCTCCTAGACTGGCCCATTTTTTATTTTCCTTTTGTTGCACTTGGCAAGAAATGCCAAACCTTAGTGGAGTGACTTCAGGAGGAGGAGATTGCTGAACAGCAATGATCAGTAGCATAGCGAGGCTGTTGCCAGAGATGACTTCTGCATCTGAAGAACAGCCTTTCTGGCATTGCCAATGTGACCCTCTTTTCTTGGGTGAACCCCGACTGCTCAGCCTGCCCAGACTACCTCTCTGCTATCGGGAAAGGCCGTTACAGCTCTGCTTCTTCTGCTTGCTGGTTTAACTGTTGCTGATGTGGAGAAAGCTCTTGGAAGAAGAGGTTAGCCAGCCTGCTTGCTGCCAGAAAGCAGACCTCTGTAGGGCTTTACAAATATAAATACTTCAAAGCTATCAGCAACAGATCTGCTTTAAAGCTCGTTAATAGTATTGTCTTGAATTGCCCTGTTTGGTTTAATTGACCCTGTTACTCAAGAATGAGCCTGTAGCAGCTTCACAGGTGGCTACTGCTTTCCTCTGTAATGTAGGGTTAGACTTTCTAACTAGATAACGAAGCTTCATAAGAAGAACCCAAAGGGGCGTAACGTCCACCTCTGCAGACCTATTGATTCTGAGCCAAAACAGCAGATTTTCAACTTATCAGTCCTTTTTCCCCTAAACTTCCGCTTGCTGCCTGAATTGTAGCACTCTGGCCATTACTGGCACTTTCCTCGCACGCTGCTCACAGGAGATGATATGAAGTAATAGATCACCTCTGTGTAAGATTCTTGATATTGCAAAATTTGTCAAGTCTTTGCTGTTGAGGCAAATGGCAAGTTTGAAAGTGGGACAGTTAAATCCACTGCAGCTCAGATTGCACCCTTTCCATGAATAACTTACTAATTGCTTTTTGTTTATTAACAGAGATTGAGATAAATATGCTGGATGAGCAGCTGATCAAGTTTCTGGCCTTGCAGAGAATACATCAGCTCTTTCCTTCCAAAGCTCAGTCTCTAGCGAGCAGTGTCAGTTCCCATCAGCAATCTCCTGTGGGAAACCACATTGAAGGTAAGAGCAGCCCTAGAATAGTCGGTTTGTGTTGAGCCATAGCTTTTTGGCACTCCCTTGCCTATTCATGGAAGGAGATCTCCCTCTTCTTCTGGTATCTGTTTGATGCTGCCTTTCATGTTTCTTTCCTGTCATCCCCTGCTCTGGGTATCCACTGGCCAGAAACTCCTTCAGGTCCCTCTACTTAATTATTTACAAATTATGGCAGTGGAAATACCTTCAGTAACTTCTGATTTTCTGCTGAAGTCGTTAGTGAAGTTGTGTTTTATTCACAGAATTAGCAAGAGATGGGAAGGTTCAGCTGCTTTTTTTTTTTTTTTTGTCCTCACCTTTGAGATGGGCAAGAGAAATATGTGAATTCCTGCTCTCTTTCTGGAGAGGTTGCTTGTGAGACAAACACACGAACAGGAGGAACTGGGGCACAGACTATATGTGTGACGTTATCATTGCCCGATCAGAGTAATGTCACTGTCAACTGAAACACTAAGTGCAACTAATGCAAATAACGGAAAACAACTTGCGCTTCTGTTGGAAGTCTCCAGATTCCCCGAGTTCAGCATTGGCTTTGTTTATGGTCACTGGTATCAGCATGCTAACACCTAAAGCTGCAGGGCGAACATGGCTTCATGTTCCTCTGCATGCAGCCAGTCAATCTGCTTTCAAGCACTAACTGGACAGCCTTGTTGTGGGAGCAGTTGTCTGCTCCCCCTCTGCTAGGCCTGGGGGTAAATATCCAAGATAAGATCTTTGGAAGCGTGCTAGCAGTCAGTAACCTTGCTTGCTGCTGTAGCATCACAGCATTCTCCAAATGCTTTGTCAATCTTCTTTTGAACACTGCTGTAGGACACAGCACCAGGCTGTGATACGAGCTGCGTTCCTGTGCTGCTCGGAACAGACGAGTTCTGGAAATTCTTCAGCAGTCTGCCTTTCAAAAGGCAGATTGATGCTGTCTTGACCCATCACCCTTTTTGGGCAGGAATGATGCATCCAGCTGACTGTTTAGCATTGCTGATGAAATACTAGATCCAAAGCCTTTAGTGAGCCCTGTTGAGCCAGCAGAGCCAGACAGCTGAAAGGACTTGTGCAGGGCAGCTGGGCAGAGGTGGGAACCTGCACGTTTCAGCTGCATTGAGTGCTGCACGTCCAGTGATGCCACTCAATGTGGCCAATGTTCTTGATGTAGGTGGCTCTGCAAACAATCTCTCGTAATCCTCATGTTCTGTTCTTTGATTTCACACTCTTGGTGTATAACTGTCATGCAGATGTAGTATCAGGAGAGGCCTAAACTCTGTGCATATAAGGGGCTTATCTCTAAAAGACAGCTGCTGAAATCCTGGCTAGGCCTGTGTGGTCCACCAGAGTTTGATATCTGTTCCACAGAAGATGATCTTCTGCCCAGTTAATGTGGGCATGTGAGAATATGTGATTTGAACTTGTCTGCCGGGGAGCTGCTCTGGCCCAGCCATTGCCGAGCGTGCTGTAGGGACCAACCTGAGGGTAAAGGAGCCCACTCGGTAAATCATCAAATCATCTTGTCCTGGGAGCTGGGTTGGTCCCTGGACAAGCCCTGTTCAACCCGTGTGTTTTTTCTGCAGCTTCACTAGAAGTGAAATCGCAGCTGTTAAGTTGGTGACATTCACCAGGACCAATGTTTTTTAAGTGGCACTTTGACAGCAAGACTCAGCTCTTTGATTACCCAAAGTGGAAGAGGTTAAGAAAGAAGCTAGTGGTAGGAGGCTTGTCTTTTCCTCAGTGTGGCTCCATTGTGCCCACTCCGTATTAACGTTCCCCCAATTGCATGGCTTATGCGGGTTACTGGAGAGAGCAATTTTCTCTGATGACTGGCAAAAAGATGTTTAATGCACAAACATCCTAGAGGGTTGGGAATTGGAGTTTAAGCCAAAGCTGACTGCATCCTCCTTAGGATCTGTGCTTTCTGGAGAGTCTAGCGCTGGGGACACTGAGGTCAAGCAGCCTTCATAGCTGATAACATTGTTCAAGTAATTTCTTTTTATCTTGCAGCGCAAAGAAAGGAAGTGCAAGCCCGGGCGGTGTTCTATCCTCTGATGGGCTTAGGGGGTGCAGTCAATATGTGCTATCGAACCCTCTACATCGGGACAGGTGAGTAGCTTTTTCCAGCCCTGACCTTTCAGAATCAGGGTGGTTCTCCCTGATGCTCTGTAAGTGTTTGCCAAATGGGTGTTGAAGAAAACAGACCCATTGTGACCGCTTGTACTGGGATTCTTCGCTACCAAGAAAATGGTGGTGGAAATTTCACGTCCACGTGAATCTTTGTGGGGTTGTACCTTTGTAACCTGCCTGGTATCAAAGTTAGCAGAATGGCTGTCCTGGAGATTTAATGCCTGATTGATGGAGAGAAGAGTTACGGTTTGCTTGCAGGTTTCGTTTCTTTCTGCTTAGATTCTTCTGGTGCTCTGGATAGACCCAGTAACTGTGAAATGCTCTTCAACCTTCATGGAGCTGCTAGCCTTCCCTTCCCCCACTGAAACTTTGTTCAGTGGCTTATCGCAGCATTATTCATGCAGTCCTGGGAGCGCGGACAAAGGCAGTTGCTCCCCTGTTGTTTTGCTAATTGAAGTTTAATTCTGTCTGTTGTTCTCTGCTGCCTGACGGTTTTTTCTGAAATGAACTGAGCCTGTTTTGTCCTCCCCATTGACAGGAGCTGATATGGATGTGTGCCTTACAAGCTATGGTCACTGTAACTATGTGTCTGGCAAACATGCCTGCATATTCTACGATGAGGTGAGTGCCTGGGTGGGGTTTTTTTTCATTTTTATTATTTGGCATGCATGGCAGTGGGAGCTGGAGGTGCAGGCAGCAGGTTGTCTTTGTGTGGTGCTCCTTTGTGGACTACAAAGTAAGAGCCAGGGCTGTGAATGGTTTCACTCCAGTGAAGGCTGCGTCAGCGTTTTCTGTCAAACCCTTTTCTGAAGCACAGAGCTCTGCCAGCATGATTTCTCTGAGCTAACTGCTTGTGGACAAAGACTGACCACAAGTAAGCACTGTCACCGCTGGTGTCTAGGGAAAG